TGCCACAATGCCTGGCTATTTTTTGGTTGCAGCCATCATTGTTGTTTGGCGGGCCTGGGCTGGTTTCGAACCTGCCAGCTCAGGTGTATGTGGCTGGCGTCTTAGCCACTTGAGCCACAGGCGATGAGCTATAACATGATGTTTTGAAATGTGTATATATTGTGGAGTGGCTAAATCAAGCTAATTAACATATCATTATTTCATATACTTTGTTTTTTGTGGGAAAAACACAATCTACTCTCTAGTAATTCTCATTGCTATTAACTATAGCCACTGTGTTGTACAGCAGATCTCTCGGACTTACTCCTCTGGTCTAACTGAAATCTTTTATCCATTGACCAATATCTCCCTATTTCCACCCCCAGACATTTTAAAATACATATGTATTTAGAAATAAAAATTGGATTAACTTAGAAAAGTAGTTTTCTTTGCTTTCATTTTATTTTTATAAAATATATGTGCATTATTGAAAAGGTACCATAAAGCTTATAATAAAGTAATAGTTTCTAGCCCCATTCCTAGATCCTTCTTTCTACCAGGAATTCTTTTCAATTCCTTTAGCTGTTTCTTCTGGCATTTAATTCTAGATTTCTAAATAACAAGCTTACCCTGCTATATTTTTCTTTTTTAACTCTAGACATTTATCTAATGACTTCCCGCTATGGCAGATGAGGATGTAGTCTTTCTTACACTTCCCTCCGCACTTTGGTTCCTTCCTAAATCCCTTCCTCCCCCTCATCCTGACAATCTGGTTATAATCTGTGGTGAAATGGTTGACTTTATTATGACAATGGAATCATTATTCAGAGCTGAGCCACAAAGTGTGTTACTGGATATCTCCACTTGTACTTTTTGCTTTGCCTCACATTTTTCTGCACTTTTTAGGTACCTATTACTAATTCAACCTCAAATGTGTGACAAAGTTAATGAAATACCAATCGATGCAGTCATCAGGTACCCAGTCGATTCCACTTTTGTTTTGTCCTTAGCAACATCCCTCCCTAAGCCCACTGCCCTCCTGCCAATCTGGATGGCTGCTCTCTCGGCTTGATACACAGCTTGCCTTCAATCTCCCTGTCAGATCTTGGTCTGTGACCAAATCCCAATATTTCATAGGATTCTGTTGCCTGAATCTTCCAGAAAAAAGCAATCATACTACAGAAAAATAAACCACATATGGTCATAGAATGGATTTCTTTCTTTCTTTCTTTTTTTTTTTTTTTCTTTGAAACAGAGTCTCACTTTGTTGCCCAGATAGAGTGCCATGACATCATGGCCCACAGAAAACTCAAACTTTTGGGCTCAAGCAATCCATTTGCCTCAGCTTCCCAAGTACCTTAGCTAAGACTACAGGCACCTTGCACAACACCCAGCTAGTTTTAGAGATGGGGGTCTTGCTCTTGCTCAGGCTGGTCTCAAACTGCTGAGCTCAAGCAATCCACCTGCCTCAGCCTGTCAGAGTGCTAGGATTACAGGCTGAGCCACCACACCCGGCCTTAGAATAGATTTCTTCATTCCTGAGTCTTCTTCTTTCTTGATTTATTCCTCATTTTGTTATCTTTAGTGGCTAATATTCCATTTTGTGACTATGCTACCATTTATTTGATCAATACCTGAATGCTAGACCTTTAAGTTATTTTAATTTTTGTTATTAAAACTTCACTGTGATAAGAATGCTTGCAACTAAATTTTTTTTTGCATATATCCTTAATAATGCCTTTAAGTTTGTTAGAATTTTAGATGTGGAAGCAGTCAAAAAGGATCTACATTTCTAAGGCTTTCTGATAATTATCTTAATCTTCAAAAAAAGTAACATTGTTGTCCTGTTAACACACACATACATACACACACAAAGACAAACACCTCTCAATGTTACTCAATAATCAGGCAAGGCTATACTTGGAGAAAAGTTTGAAACCGGAAGATTCTGTATATCTGTTAATTTCAATAACTCCAGTCACTTAGATCCTTTACTGGGAGAATAATGAATTGGATAAATAAAAAATAGACAATTTATTTGTTTTACTATGCACATACATGCATATAGAACACACACACACATGTTTTAATACTGACCTACTAATAACCATAGCTGTTATGACGGGCTCCCAGCCTGAGTGGAGAACTGTTCTTGTGGCTGGATGTTTGGCAGCTATTATAATCCAGATTGGAGTTAGAGCCAAGAAAAAGACACCAACTAATGGAGAAATGTAGTAATAGGTCTCTAAAATTAAAAAGAGAGAGGGATATTTCAATCTCTCATCTATGTACCAAATCTAAATTACCACAACACATAATACTATTAAACATATTAACATGATATATATATATATATATATATATTTTTTTTTTTTTTTTTTTTTTTTTTTTTTTTTTTGAGACAGAGTCTCACTCTGTTCCCCTGGGTAGAGTGCCATGGAATCATAGCTCACAGGAACTTCAAACTCTTGGGCTCAAGTGATTCCCTTGCCTTAGCCTCTTGAGTAGCTTGGACTACAGGCACCCACCACAACACCCAGCTAGTTTTTCTATTTTTAGTAGAGACAGGGTCTTGCTCTTGTTCAGGATGGCCTCAAACTTCTGAGATCAAGCAATCCACCCACCTCAGCCTCCCAGAGTGTTGGGATTACAGGTATGAGCCACAGTGCCTGGCCTCATGCTATATATGTATTTTTAATAAATTTCAAGCACATTTAGAACTGTAGAAAAGGTAAAAATATTAAATAATGTAACTGAAAACTAATACATTATTCCACAAACATTTATGGAAATAGCTGTGTGACCTTCCTGGAAATAACAATAATCATAATAATGGTAAGAACAACAATAGTAAAAATAGCTAACTTGACTTGTATTATTTACCAAGGACTAAATTAATGCTTTACATTCATCACCTCACTTAAGTGCCCCCACCAGTGTAAGGTAGATTCTATCATTTCTATTTTATGAGGAAACTGAGGCTTAAAAGTTTAGGAGCTTAAGAATGCAACGAGGAAGTAGGGAGAGCTGAGAGAAAATGACATATCTGATACCAAAGTTACTGCTCTTAACTCTACATTATTAATAGCAAATCTAGTGGGACTCTGGTTTTTTTCCACAAGGATCTTTATAGTCCATGAAATATTGGTTATCAATTGATAATAGATATCTAAGTCCCCAAATAAAATGAAAATCTAGGTTTAATAAAGTTAAGCAGATTTCTTCACTGCAGAACTATTCAGCATCTTTAATACACAAGAAGGAATACAGTACACTATGCCAACCATAATTTGACCCAACTACCTAGTTTTCACTTCTGGATCCAACTTACCTTGGACATGAAATTTAACTTCATTGGATTTCAATTACTTTGTCTATACAATGGTAATAACGGTACCCATCTCACGTATTTATTGTGAATCTTAAGAGGGTTGACACATGTAAGCATTCACCCTGACACCTAGCTAACACTTATTGAACACTTGCTATTATTATCATCGTTGGTGTCACCACCATTATTATTATTTTGCCATCTGGAAGACAGTAGACTATCAGGTTGCCAGGACTTGGTTATACCTCTCTCTGCTAGATTGTCACCATTAGTCATCCCCTCCTCATCCTTGTTAGGCTTTCCTATAGGAAGAGTCAACTCTCTGCCTCCATGATTGTGGGTGTGGCCATTTGTCTGGCTTTGTAAACATTATGCAAGCCATCCCTAAACAAAATTTTAAGTGTGCTTTCAGAAATGACTAGAAGACTTATGTGTGTGCACATGAGTATTTGTATCTCAACTATTTTCAGACACTAGACATCAGGCATGGCAAGACTGAGTCCTGAGAGAAAGGAAAGAAAAGAGATGATCCTTACAACGGCCCCAGCTTTCTGAATAAAGGCAGACAGCCTGCAGCCTGGGGAGGAGAACTCTGGCAGAGTGAGGCTGAGGCAGCAGGAATTTACAGGGGAGAACACTAAAGAGCAGGAAGCTATCAAATAGAGAGCTTGAGCACTGAATGCTAAGCCATGCATGTTTAGGGTGACCACAGGGCTGGGTCAAGAACAATGCAGGAGAAATTCCAGAGTTTACATAGGGCTAGAAGTCATTCAGGATCTAACTCCTTAAAGAGAAGAGGCCTCTTTGGGTACCAAGAGCTCTCAATAGAGACTCAAGAAGGGTCACATCTTAGTAGCAGGTTAACCCTAGAATAATGTCTGCTCTAGATTCTGTCCAGTAAAGCTTCAAGTCAAGCCTTATAAAGCTCAAGCTAATCCACGAATAACTGCCTAGAACAGTGGCTCAACCTTCCTAATGCTGCAACCCTTTAATACAGTTCTTCGTTCTGTGTCTTATGACACAAAATTCTGCAACCCTTATTCCAACACTAAACCATAAATTATTGGCGGGGGTGTCACCACAATATGAGGAACTGTATTAAAAGGTCACAGCATTAGGAAGGTTGAGAACCACTGGCCTAGAATAACAAAATCCAACATTATATAAGGCAAAACAAAACAAGCAAGCATTCAACAAGATTACATTTAAAATGTCTAACATCTAACCAAAAATTATTTTTAAGAGTTTGGAATAATGTTTGGTCTCATTTACGTACTTAGTTAAATACCCTGAGAGATTCTACTTACTTTAGAATCTACTTACTTCTATTTAGACATTTTACTTAGATCACAAAAGTTTCCAAGTACTTAAAGCAATCTTTATAATGCTAAAAAATGAAATGAATAAATATGGTGACACTTAAGTTTTTATAAATATTCATATCATGTGTACGAATCCGGTAAGATTTCTATTTAACAATCACAAGAATAATTAATTATAAACCTAAAAATTGAATTTAAAAATGAGTATACAAGATAAATATGTATTACCTCTTTAGGTAGTTTGATTCTCAAATATTTTTATACTTAATTCTAAATCTCCCTAGGGTTAACACTGCATATCTCTTATTGAAACAGTTATATCATCCTGAGGCATTTTTGGTGATATCACTTTAGCTGATCAAAGTTTGTTATTATGAGAGATTGTAGCTAGGACATACCTGAAATCTTCTCAATGACTCTAATATTTATTTTGTATAATAAGGACTTCATAACTTAAAGACAGCATTGATCTCACAGTCTGTGTAGCCTACAGCCTTAATCTAAGTTAAATATTACTTAATTTTCCCAATATGACACAGAATTCTGCAACCCTTATTCCAACACTTAACTTTGATTGAATTTTATATTTCATTAGCCTCCGAAGATATTAAAAGATCTTCTCACCTGTGACTAAAGATGCTTAAACTAGATTGAGACTCAATTTTTTATTTTTCCCCATCAGGCAGGAAAAAACAATTGTTATAGATATTAAAATCATATCTAAATAAATTTTATTCCCATGGCTTTGTCTGTATTTGCCATCATTTCTTTAGATATACTACCAAAATTCATTTTTGTATTTTCTTCCATTTAAAGGAATATGACTACTGCTACATTTAGTGCCATTTTCTTCGTGACTTTTTAAGATTAAAAAAACCCTTTATTTGTTGAATGGATTCCCAGTTCTCCTTGTAAGCCATTAGATAATGATAAATAACATCCCAGTTAGGAAGCATTCCAATCGCCTAAAATAATTAAGGTTGCCAACAATCTCTTAATTGGACCAAAAAGAAAACTAAAAGCATTGAAACCCACTAAACAAAAATGAAAAGAACCATTCTGCTAAGTCAGACCATCTTAGTATTTATACTCCTGTCAAGAGAGGAGCACCAGGCTAGGCTTAAAGAAGTTATCAATCTCTGGAAGGACGTATGAAGTTGAAAAAAGCACCCACCACCCCAACCCCCAGAATCACTGCCCTGAATTTCAAAGAGAAGGAAAATTTCTCAAGAAAGAAACTAAAAATGGGTAGGAAATTACTCAAAAATGTAAACAATTTAACCTGACCCACATGACCCCCAAAATTCTAACTCCTAGATTTATACACAAAAGAAAACAATGTTTACATTAAAAACTCATACAAGAATGTTCATAACAGCATTATTCATAATGTCCCAGACATGGAAGCAAACTAAATGTCTGCCAAATGGTGAATGGATAAGTAAAATGTGACATACCCACAAATGAAATGCCTATCCTTCAGCCTTATTACTAACTCATATGATGGAATATTATTCAGCTCTTAAGATGATTCAGTACTGGCTCAGTGCCTATAGCACAGTGGTTACAGTGCCAGCCACATACACCAACCCTGGCAGGTTCAAAACCAGCCTGGACCAGCTAAACAACAATGATAAGGGCAACAAAAAATAGCTGAGCCTTGTGGCGGGTGCCTGTAGTCCCAGCTACTTGGGAGGCTGAGGCAAGAGAAGGCTTAAGGCCAAGAATTTGAGGTTGTTGTGAGCTGTGATGCTACAGCACTCTATAGAGGGCAACATAGTGAGATTCTGTCTCAAAACAAAAGATGATTCAGGACTGATTCAGGCTACAACGTGGACTATCCTTGAAAATACCATGCTGAGTGAAAGAAGCCGGACACAAGAGGTCACACATTGTATGAGTCCATTTATGTGAAATGCTCAGAATAGGCAAATCTAAAACGATAGAAAGTAGATTAGTGGCGGCCAGGGGCTGAGGGAAGGGTGGAATGAGGAGTGCCTACTAAAACGGACAGGGTTTCTGTTGGGGATGCTGAAAATGTTCTGGAATTAGAATCATGCCGATGGTTGTGCAGTATTATGAATATACCAGATACTGTTCAATTGTATACTTTAAAAAAGGTGGACTAAATGGTATATGGATTATACCCAAGTTTTTAAAAAATCTAAAAATGAAAGACAAAGGAGGTGGGACTATAGTCTTCAAAAATCTCAGTGACATCAAAGGCAACATTGATACAAATATAGAGAAAGGAGAGAGAAAACAGAAGACAAGTAAATGGAGTAAAATGTTAACATTAGGAGAATCTAGACAGAGGGTATATAGGTATTCTATGTGCTGTTTTAACTTTTGAAAATATTCTGTAAGTATAAAATTCATGATTATGTTTTATAAACATTAAGAAAAGTGGGGAAACCATGATAAAGCCAAAATTTCCAAATGATCTACTGAAATGTATTCTATTTCAATTTCCTGCCTAATCCAACATGCCCATTCCCACAAAATTAGATGTAGTCATGTAAGATGCCCCTAATTTATCCCTGGAGAACTTCTAATCTGATTTTGAGAGCCAGGGAAAATTACTAATATAGA